ACGGCGGCGGCCTACAGTGAGCAGAGGCCGGGGGCTAGAGTGAGGAACGGCCGGAGGGTTAGAGTGAGCAGAGACCGGGGGGCTAGCATGAGGAACGGCAGGAGGGTTAGAGAGCAGAGGCGGCGGGCTTGAGAACGGCGCGGCTGGCGATTTCGACGAAGGAGCGTCCGGAAGGACATGTGACGACTCCGGGCTGGACTCCGCTTCGTCCACGGTGAAAGCCGATCCGGCGATCCACAGCGCAAAGTTGTTGTATTTCCGCAGCAGATATTGTCCTCTTTTGGAAGGCCAAACAAAGTAGTTTCGCTTTCACAACGAATCACACAGTGCCTTCACGACACGGCGGCGGCAACAACAATACTACAGCGAGAATAAAAGTTACGCCTTCTTTCTTTGCGTGAACATTTGGGCGGCGTTATGCAAATCTTCCCACATAGCGACGTAGATATGTGGGGGCGTGTTAGAACAAGCCGTTTAAGGTAGGCGTGGCTGACTCTTAGCTTTTATAAAGAATATTTCTTTGGATTTGAGACTTTAGTCTTTGCAACTTTACAGATCTTCTTTCTGCACCAAGAGCTTGTAACACTCCAAAGTGTAAAAATTTTAATTGCATCATATGACCCCTTTAAGCAAAACCAGTTTAAGATCACTTATTAAAAAAAAAAAAAGGTCAGACCTGAGGCCTAGTGTCAAGCAGCTTGCTTTCCGACACTTTGAGCTATGGTGCTCATGTAAGTCTGGCATTATTTTTTCATCCTGTTTCAACCCTTTTCCCATCAGTTGTGTCCTTTCTCTTGTTATAAGTGTCAAAAAAGATTTAAAAAATACAGCTGTACTGTATATAATAAAGCACTCCATTGCATCAGCCATCAGACATCCACAGGTAGAGCTGATATTTCTCTTCTACAGGCTTCCTCACTCTGTAGCAGTCACGTTTCATCTGAACATCAGCTCGAATTGTGGATGACAGTGTTTTTGTCTTGTCAGAGTGGCAGAGAGGCAGTGGGGTTTTGTTTATAGTCTCGCTAATGTAGTTAATTAAAAATGGCAACTTTTCTCATTCTCAGTCAGTGGCATCCTGTCATACACCTCGTGCTTCAAATAATACAGATCCATGGCTGACCTTAAACCAGAATTTCTCCTTCCTAAGATCCTATTTATATGCTATCACTGGGCTAGAGAAACCGAATAATACAACAACATGCCCTGAAAAAAAAACTATACTTTGATTTCTCATAGCCTTATTTTAATTTTAAATATGGTTTTTGAAAACAGATTTGACAAGCATGTTTCTGTGATGAATAAAATACAAGCAATTAAATCTAAATCTCTTTCTTGTTAAATGTGAAGTGTCTAATCTGTGAAGGTTTTAGTCCTGCTGTTGCTCTTTATACTAATGCCAGTGTTTCCTGTAGGCGGAGGAGAGACATGGCAACATCGAGGAGCGTTTGCGCCAACTGGAGGCCCAGCTGGAAGAGAAGAACCAAGAGCTGGGCAGGGTGAGGTCTGGGTTGGGGGTCATGACACCAAAAGAAAAAGGGATGCTGAGTTTGTCACTGAATGAGTGAATGTTGGATAGAGGAAAGATGAGATGTGAGGCAGTAAATGAGAGAGTGGCTTTGGTTTATTACGCTGTGTGTGCATGTGATTTTGATTTGTTTAAGTGCACATAAGAATGAACACTATAACCAGTGTTTGTTTGTTTTTTTGTGAGTGTGTGCGAATGTTCATATGCTTGGCCACAATGTCTCCACAAAACTTGAAATAACCCACATCAGATGTTCATATTAGGGAAAAATAAATAAACAAAATATCAAAATGAAAATGTAAAACGGTAAATGATTTGGCTCAGTATCATGTTTGTTTAGCCATATTGTCCCTAGCAGTTTGTATTACACACACTTATACAGTAGGTCACACTTCACAATAGTTACATTTGTTAACATTAGTTAACTACGTTAGTTAACATGGAACTGAGCATGAACTTATTAATCTTAGTTTACTGTATATTAATTTCAACATTTACTAATACATTATTAAAATAAAAAAGGGTATATTATTTAATGGACCTTTATTAACTAACAATTACAAAGATTAAAATATATATTTATATATTGTGTTTCCATAATGGATTCTAAATATATATTTTTAAAAATTATATTTTTTAAATTAATAATTTAATTTAATAAATAATATAATACTTATATATGAAATATATTTTAATATAATATATCATAAAATAGTATAATATAATAATACTTATATATTAAATGTATTTTAATATATAATATTTAATATACACTTTTTCACTTTTGACAATAGAATAGAAGTTAATGGACATGTATAACCATAATTTAATGACATTTTATCTTCTTTTATTTTAAAACCGTAAAATTTTTTGTTTGGGTTTCAAGGTTAGTCTGTAGTTATTCCAATTAGATTTAAATAAAAACAATGTAAGTATACGGTCCGAATTTGATAATAAATGTGTGTTTCTGTGTGTGTGTTAAGGAAGACGTGTAACCTGTTGCACAATAGGTCTTGACCAGGCCTGCAGGCGGTGTGTTCGACCTCACTGTGGGGACTCTGCGGCCTGACCGCTCTCATTAGCCTGTGCTGCTTTGTGTCTTCTTCTGTTTTTTACACACACAACAGAGGCAAACAAAGATCGATAGGCTAGCGCTCCTGTACAAACACACTCACACACACATGCTGCTGCTCTGAGAATATGGGACATTTTTTAGCTCATCTTGAATCAGCTGAATTTCCTCACCCCCAGTGAGAGCAGAGCTGTAATTGGCTGCTATATTTAGATTTTGAATAATTCATGCATGGTTAATTTCCTTCTGCGTGTGAGCTGATGATTGTAATGACTTAAAGCAGTCAAAGAGAGTCCTTATCCTCCTTCAGCCTTAATTAAACCTTGATGCTTACACCTCAGACTGGGCTTGAACTCCCGCTCTTTCCTGACAGTCACAATGCTCTGTGTTGACTAAATTTTAAAGACCGTTGCCACCAAAAGAAAATTAAGATTTTGTTGCCAGGCAACTGAGTGCCCATATCCTGCAGCAACTGTGTTTAAAAGTCATCACCCCTGCATTCAGCTACAAGGACTGTCATTATTCATGTTCTTGAGGGATTATCACAAAATGCACACCATTTAGAAATATGTGAGAAATTAGTTGTAAATGCTGAAGCAAAATGTGAACTCTCAAAGGCAGCTATGTGTTTTAATATCATGAACCTGACTTAAAAATCAGACATAAAACTCTTAGAATGTGATGGCAGTGCTTCAGGGTGTAATGCTGCCCTCTATTGGTTCTACTGTACGTAGATTATCAGAAAAACAAATTCCAGTCTAGTTGTACTCTTAAAATATGGATGTTGTTTCATACTCCCCTTTTTTTCTTGCTTCCTTTTATCTTCTCTGCTCGCTGTCACTCTTTCTCAGGCTCGGCAGAGGGAGAAAATGAACGAGGAGCATAACAAGCGTCTGTCTGACACTGTGGACCGTCTTCTCACAGAGTCCAATGAACGGCTTCAGCTGCACCTGAAGGAGCGCATGGCTGCGCTGGAGGACAAGGTACAGATTTTGCAATACCCACCTGCACATACTACTGTTCACATTTGACCATTTGATCAGCCGATGCTTAAAGAGTATTTAAGCAAACATAGAACACACTGACACAAGGGTCTCATTACTGACTGGTTTCCCAGGCCTCAGATTTACATGTACTGCAGGGGGAAAAAAACAAAAAAAACATGAGATATTAACAGCTGTTTTTTGAAAATATTTGTAACATTTAAGTTTTTAAATGTTAAAAGAAAATATATTTTCAATAATATTTTTAATTAAATTTTTTTCAGCATTGGCAAATATTTTTTTATTGTAGCTTTTTTCTTAATGAACATAATTAAAATAAGATAAGAAAAATAAGATTGCTCACGTTAATTGAAAAAAAATAATTATATCTATTATAATTTTTTTATTCTTAAGAAATGAAATGTTTATTATGTTTATTTATTTTCCTAATGTACATTCATCTTATGAAACTATTTCAATTATTATTTAAATTATTTACATCAAACATATATTATTAAATTATAAATTAATTCATTTAAATTATTAAAGAAATTAATATTTATGTCCATATTTATAGTCTGCCTTTATCCTAGAGCGTGCACGGCCATATTCTGTAAATCGCTTGTGAAAAACATAGGTATAAAGGTTTTCTGTTCAGCTTGAATGAATAGAACCCAGTCCTTTCCTCTTTCGAGCTGTAAGCTGAGATGACAGAAGTGGCCAGATGTGAAGGGACAGGCTGCACCACATGTAGAGAGCGAGAGAGAGAGAATATGCAGGTTATCTTTGCCACAACGTGCTGCTTAAATCTTATTGTCAATTTTGTTTCGTTTTTTTTTCCCCCATTCCCCCATCAAGAATGCACTCATCCATGACCTGGAGAATTCCCAAAAACAACTGGAAGAGTTCCATCACAACAAGGTACAGTGGCACTGCACATTAATAACACACAGATCTGCAGAACATGAGCAACAGCCAGGAGTGTTGCAGTTTCAAGAGATAACCGAGGAGCATAACATGTCCATGGACTTTTCTTAATTAACATCAAGTGTTTAAGTTAGGATATTTATATGAACGTATAAAGAAGTGTTTATCCTGTAGATCAGGGGTCGGCAAGTAAGTTTGGCATCGGGCCAAAAACCATTTTCGCCACTAGATGGTGGGCCAGAGCAGAGCCAAAGGATAATTTAAGAAATTAATTGATGAAAAATGCAACTAGAATTGCCTGTGACAGACTGTTACAGTGTCTTTTGTAACTGGTAGAGAGCCGTTACTCTGTGTTAAATCCTGTAGTAGGACAGTCATTAACAAAAAGCCACATTTGTGTGGCGGTGTCCGGGTTTTACACTGGATAAATTAATAAAGCAGAGTACTGACACATAACCTGGCAAGTATCTTCATTCACCGCCTTGCTAAAACACACATATGTGGGAGATGCGGAATGGATTAAAATAACTCAAAAAAATTTGAGTCATGCTCTTAACGAACTATGTTTTATTTCCTCTTTCCATATTGTGAATAATAAATGTGTATCATTTTAATTTGCTTGTTACACAATGGAGCCTAGATTATTGTAATAATTATTTGACGTAGCCTACTTTTACACTGAGAATTATTCCTTGGCATCCTCATGTGCTAAACTGCATTTTTTTTAATTGTTTGCGTGCTGGAGGCACGCTATTATGTAGTGCGCAGAGTGATGTTAGCATTTAAAGGGATCATATGATGCTGCTAAAAAGAACATTATTTTGTGTATTTGAAATCTGTTTAGTCCTCCATAAAATGCGCTGGACACATCTGAATATTTGGGTTGAACTGTTCTGGAACAGTGTTGTAAATACAACTTAACCACTGATTTCTAGTCGTGTCCTCTTTTGGAAGGCCAAACAAAGTAGTTTCGCTTTCACAACGAAAAAGCGTCACACACCACCTAGAGTATGTGGAGTGAGTTGCTTGAGTGAGCAGAGGCGGGTGGGCTTGAGAACGGCGCGGCCGGCGGGCTTGCGGCAACCACATGTGACGACCCCTGGCTAGACTGGATCCGGCAATCGACAGACGAGCCGTTTTAGGTAGGCGTGGTTGACTCTTAACTTTTATAAAGAATATCTCTTTGCAATTAAAACTTTAGTCTTTGCAACTTTACAGATCTTACAGAGCTTGTAACACTCCAAAGAGAAAGGAAAAATTTGAATCGCATCGTATGACCCTTTTAAGTGAGTAGCCTACTAAGACTATGTAATAGCCCAAATGTATTTTGAACGTAGTTACTGAATTTCATCTTTTCAACTTTAACTCTATTCATGTAGCCTATTCGTTTCAAGAGTATAAGCATATGCACCCCCAGCTGTTCTGCATCCATGATCAAGAATATTTTTTTTTTTTGCTGATTGTCTTGTCAAACGTTTTGATAAAAAGGAAGCTGAATTTGCTTTGTTATTGTTCACATGTTGGTGCTGAGGCCCAGCGTTATAAGCAAACGTTTCAATGGTTCACTGTTTTTTCATACCGCACATTTCATGACGGCTATTTTAGAGATGTGTCTAGCGATCCACAGACTCTTTAGAATGTCTTTCAGAACTTTTCAAATCAAAAGCTCTCAATTCATCTCAAAATAAAACATTGCTGCAAAAATGTTCTCGTACTTTTATTTTGAAGGCAAAATCACTAAAGACGAAGTGATTGTAAGTAACGTCTCGGTTACGTATGTAACCCTCGTTCCCTGAAGGAGGGAACGGAGACGTCACGTCGAGTAGATTGGTCCCTCTAAGCGAGATCCCAATTTCGTCGGTCCTCCGACGTGACGTCGAGAGTGACCGACTGAAAGGGAACTGTTGCTGTCATGACAGATATATTTCAGAACCAGCCACTATCAAAATAATCTGCAGGCGCGGGCCAGATATTATTGCTGGCGGACCAGTTTTGGCTCGCGGGGCCGCCTGTTTCCGACCACTGCTGTAGATGGTCTCCATTTCTTTCTTGTTTTTGTTATCATTTTTACTTTGGCTTTTGTATGTTCATTTTGTTCATGTATTGTTCATTGTGTGTCCTGCAATGTGATTTTTAAAAATGCTAATATTTATTTAAATATATATATATACATAAACTACTATTCAAACATTTAAGGTTGGTAAGATTTTGTATTGTTTTTAATTTTTTTTGTTTTTAAATTTAAAATACTCATGCTGATAAAAGCTGCATTTATTTGATCAAAAATACAGTAAAACAATAATATTGTGAAATATCATTGCTACTTTAAAAAAATTGTTTTGTATTTTAATATATAGTTTTAAATGTAGTTTATTCCTGTGATGGTAAAGATGATTTTTCAGCAGCTAAAGAAGCATTTTTGTGTTAATATTTTTCAGGATTCTTTGATTAAAAGAAAGTTTCAAAAAGCAACATTTATTAAAAACAGAAATCTTTTGTAGCATTACAGATGTCTGTACTGTCACTTTGATCAATTTAATGCATCTTTGAGGAATAAAGTATTCATTTTTTTTTTTTAATCTATTTTAAAATTATTATTATGATTATATCAGGAGTTTTATTTTCTTATTTTGATCTGTATTCATTTGAGTTCATAAAAGTGGTTTTCATAATAAAGAAAGAATTGACTAATCAATTGTTGTTTAGGAGAGGCTTATTGGGGAGATTGAGAAGTTACGGGCTGAACTCGATCATCTGAAGCGCAGGACCGGTGCGTTTGGAGACGGAACACATCCTAGGTGACATCCAGATTTAAAACATTTATAGTATTTTGTTATATAATGAGCCCTATTTTTATCTGCTCGTTAAAAGTGATGTGCTAAGTAAGCCTCTCTCTGTTGACCCGGTCTTAGGTCTCATCTTGGCAGTGCCACAGACCTGCGCTTCTCAGTGGTGGAAGGTCAGGGAGATCACTACTCCTCCACAGGGGTCATACGTCGGGCTCAGAAAGGTCGACTGGTGGCACTCAGGGATGAACCCACCAAGGTGTCAATGTCACACCTACTGTACATCTCCATCTGTCCAAAACTTGTTGTAATATGTACTGTACTGGTATAACTGTAGTCACTGACACACCTTGGCCTTGTAAACTAATTTCTCCCTATTCTTTTCTTTTGCCTCGTTGGATGTGTTCATTGTAAGTTCCGGGTTCTCTAATCCACTTCAAAAATGTTGATAGCAAATCAGATCTTACTGATTTGTAAACTCCACAAAGTAACCCTGATCCATGTCTTTATTTCCAGATCCTGCCGATGGTGGAGCAGGATTGGGATCGCTCTCAGTCCTCCAGCTTGCGAGCCAGCCGTACTCACCTGATGGGAAGCGACACTGAGCTGTCTGACCTGGACGATGAAGACCGTGAGACCATATTCAGCTCAGCCGATATGCTGTCTCCCAGTGGGCACTCAGATGCCCAGACGCTTGCCCTCATGCTGCAAGAACAGCTGGATGCCATCAATGAGGAGATCAGGTTGGGGTACAGACTTTTAAAAGTGACAATATGGAAATCTTGTTTTGTTTTTGAGCAGCTGCACAGCAACAGCCTGACAACCAGCATTGTGGCAGTGAGTTCTGCATGAGCTAGTGCCACTTACATTTTGTTCAAAAAGCTTTTTAAAACTGTTGAAGCATAAAGTTTATGACTAAGTGCTAACTTAGCAGCATAAATGGGTCGTTCAGTGTGCATCAGTTCTGATGTCAGAACTATCAACACATTAACATGTGACTGTCCCTATTTATTTATCATCAACTGTTCAGTATTCATCATTATGATGGAGGCATTGTTACTCATTTAACTTGTGAAGACGTTAGCCAGTCAGCAGAAGTAATTTGCATAAGTCTAAAAGGTACTTTAGCTAAAATAGGCTGTTTAATTTGTTTTTGGTGGACGAAACATTGACTAACATTATAAGGAATTTATAATTAGTGTTGCATATAGGCTCTTTAACTTACTGCCAGCTTAAAGACCCCCTTAACAGAGTAGAAAAGCCCTTTAACAGTTCAGGGTTACACTTTACAATATTTGCTTTAGTATATGAATGCTTTAAATCTGACATATCTTGCGACTTGTGTGAAATCTAATCACGTGCCTCAAGTATATCAGCTTAAATTCTTAAAATGTAATTTTCAGTTGTTTTATTGATCCAAGCTTGTGCTCTAAACTCATGCTTTGTTGAACAGAGTCTTCAGAAGGGTGACCAGTTACAGCCAGAGCCAACCTTCTTCTCAAACTCAATGACCTTTTTTCGATTTCAGAATTCATTGACCCTGCAGGCAGACTAAAAGAGCACCTGTGTGTCTCTGTGCTCTGGTGGCCCGCAGATATAATTAGAACGGTAACAGAAACTGTCAGGCAGGCCAAAAACTTCATTCTAAATCCAAACAGTGCTCTGAAGCTTGTCCTGATACCAAGCTGTCTAGATTCCTTTCAGCAGCACAAAGCGATGGAGGTGGAACATCTGTCATATATGACAATATTTGTGAGTTCTGAGTTGTGGATGAATATAAATGCCAGACAATAGCAGAGCTATCACCTAAAATGTGCTGCAGTGTGCAGATAGCAGTGACTCATGACCTGAGCTGTGGCTTAAACTCATTAGGGTTCAACAACAGACTGTACTTCCAGGGCATGAATATTAACATATATCAACAGTAAGAGGAGTCCTGGTGACATTTTCTTTGAAGGCTGAATACATAATGCCCTATAAAGCTGTTAGTAGTGCATTTTATGGTTTCCCAATTAATTCTAGCCACCATTATAATGTATTATATGTGCAGTATAGAATATATACACATTCAGGGGTGTGCATAAGTGGTGTGGAGGTGTTTAAATAAGTTCAGACCACTAATTTGCCTACCAACATGGTTGACAGCTGTTAATTCACAATCACCGTTTTAGATCGACAAACTGTAATACTGAATAAGATGTCAATTCGAACTTAAAACATAAATCTAAACTACGCACTTCCGGTTTCAACTTGGCAGCACTAATACATATACTTACTTCCTGGTAACCCGCCAAAATAAAAGCTTGCTGATTTTAGATTTGAAAAATGTTAGAAAGAAAAAAAAATGTAAATATTAGCATTGTGTTTTTAAGTGTACTATAAAATAAATGTATTTTTATTTAATAATGTTTTTAATTTTAGAATATAATAGTATTATCACACTGCATTTGTGCATTTAAAAGTGCAATAACACTATAAGGAAAAATATTACTATTAATATTAATATAGTAATATAGTAATATTACTATTATTAGTTATTTTATTTTTTTATAGATATGTTTAATGGGTCACATTAGGTGCAGTGTGAGCAGCAAATCAAATCACCAGGTGCTCTCATGAGAACCAGACTGAAAAATCTATGTGCGCTCCTGTACACAGCCATTCTTGGCTACACGTTATGCACTTATAATTTATTAGATGATGTAAAATAAGGCATAAAATTGAGTGTTTTATAGGTTATAATGCATTATATTATTAAAAAGTATAACTATAAATATGGATAAATGGGTAGCCAACATTAAATAGATCAAATAGATCATTCGGATAGATTTGAGTTCGGCTTTGGTTTGAAGTGTATTCTGCAGAGAGTACAGTTTGGGGATTTTTGTGTCTGTTTTATGTTAGAATTTTCTCCATCTATAGGTGCTAAATCTCTTTCTCCTTCTGTTCCAGAATGATCCAGGTAGAGAGGGAATCAGCAGAGCTCCGGGCGGATGAGATCGAGAGTCGAGTAAACAGCGGCAGCATGGATGGCCTGAATGTGACACTGCGGCCACGCTCCTCCATCCCCACCTCCGTCACTGCCCTCTCTCTGGCCAGTTCATCACCCCCCGTTAGCGGCAGATCCACACCTAAACTGACGTCCGGTTCAGCAGCCCACGAGTTGGGCATCATGACCCTGGTGATCCTTGCTTCACATTGCAATGCTTTTATTTTGTGTTAACGCCGTTAAATCGCCCTTTTCTAACACTTAATCATCTGTCACCTTGCATCTTCCTTTGTCTCTTTCTTCCTGCTAACACTTCAGCCTAGTGATTTAAGGAAACATCGCAGACGAGTGGCTGTAAGTGTGTCTTCATCTCTAAATGACTAAACTGAAGACTGGATTGCTTGTGCTAATGAAGTGTGTGTGCATTAGATAGATGAGGTTGTGAATGTGTGTATGTGTGTTTGTTTATTTATAGGTGACTACGTTTTAATGATTTGTGTTCAGCGTGTGTGGGAAATGTCATTCGTTTTATTTTTTTTGCGAGAGGCGATATCGTGATGATTTTGTTTGTGTGTTTTTGTCCCAGTCTCCTGTGGAGGCCCGAGAAGACAAGGCCACCATCAAGTGTGAGACGTCGCCCCCTTCCTCCCCCCACAGTCTCAGACTAGACCAAATGAACTTCGCTCAGCTAACAGGAAGCCTTGAGGATGGCCGAGGGTAAACGCACACACAAATCCACAGATGATCACGTCTCAGGTGTTAATAGATCCTTCTCTGATTGAACTGGATGAGACATATTTTCCTAGCAGGCATAATTGAGGACAGATGAGAGTTTGTCATAGGCAGAGATGCTCTCACGAACACTCAACTGCTCTTGAGACTATGGGTTTATAAACTAGTTAATTACTGTCAGCTTGCCTTTGTTTTAGTCATGTGTGACCCACATTTGTTCTGTAGTACACCTCCAGGTGTGTCATGCGCAATAAGATTTGTGAGCCAAGTAGATAACTTAAATCTTTGAAAATAAGCTGATTATTGTAGGTTCAAAAAAATCACATGTATTAATTTAATCTCTTCAGTTACCTTCTGCAGATCATTTGCTTTAAAATTACATTTTTGTCATAATTTACCTGCTTTCTTTTTAAACTTGTATATTTTTATAGTGGAACAAAATGTCAAAGATGCTGTTTTCCATAGAGCTTTTCCAAAAATGCTGCTGTTTTGAATTTTCTATTCGACAAATAATCCTGAACAAATGTATCACAAAAATATTAAGCAGCACAACTGTTTTCAACATTAATAATAAGAAGAAATAAGAAATGTTTCTTGAGTACCTAATCAAAATGATTCAGCTTTGGCATCATGGGAATAAATTACATTTTAAAATATTATTAAAATATAACTTTTTCTGTTTGTTTAATCAAATAAACCTAGCCTTAATTTGCATAGGAAACTTGCATCGAAAGCATAAAAAAATGTACTGACACTAAACTTTTGAACATTAAATAATTGAATACTTTATATAGACAATAATATTTATAAGATAATATCTTGTTTAGAATATCATGTATATAATGTATCATATGTTATTTAAGGATTTGAACCTAGGACCACTTTTAATGCTAAATAAAATCATAAAAAATAAAATCACTATAGACTTATACATAGAATTTCTAAATTATTTTCTGGAGGGCAGCATCATATTTAGCTATCATGCTGTGTTTTTAATTATGTTGCTCCAGATGTTTTCTCTAGAGCATCATCTACTATTTAAGCTCTGTGAGGATTTAGCTGGTGTGATGTTTTTATGCGGCTAAATTTAATGATGAACTACCTTGGGTATTGTCGAATACAAATCACACTTTTGTAGTCTGACTAATTTAATTCAAATAAGACTTTCAGCAGGTGTCCTGCACACTCAGACTAATACACATTGATTTGAACCAAAGCAAGAAATCACTCCTTATGTGCATATTTTCAGTCTCTCTCTGTCCTTCCTACTCCCACATCACTGCTGGGGAGTTATACTGCATCTCAGAGGCGCCTAGCTCTATCACGATTTAATGTTTCACACAAATTTATGGTGATGTCAGAGGAGGAGTGATTTCATTACGATTGAATTGGCTTCGATAGATCCAAATAAGAGTGCAGGAATAACTGAGCATTTCTCAGCAGGGCAGGCAGTTAGCCTGATTAAAAGATTGCAAACAGAAGTGATCCTGCATGTTATATAGTGTGAGGTGTTGTTCACACAGGACAGGTTTTTGTGTTCTGTCTTATATACACATACTTCAGATAAATGTCTTTATCTTTTGTGTCAGGTCTCACTGTTTTTAAAGCATTTTCCCTTCACCCTGGCTGTTATTAAGGGCAAAAATACATGCCACTGTTACTGTTTCTATTCGACTGCTGTTTCTGCCTCCACATTGCTGCATCATTTGCATTAGGTTAAACTCTGCTCAACTTAGTTTTGCTATTGATAATAGTTTCTAATGCCACCAGAAATTATTAAAAATGAATTACTTCCAGTTGCTTTTTCACTACAGATTTCTGTCGTTGTGAACATCCCTTAAAGGGCTAGTCCACCCAAAAATTCTGTTATCATTTACTCACTCTCATGTCAATCCAAATCTGTAACTGTTTTTTTCTGTGGAACGCAAAAGAAGATATTTTGAAGAATGTTGGTAAGCAAACCGTTTTGGTTCTCAATGACTTCCATTGAATTTTTTGCCCATATGATGGAAGTCAGTGGGAACCAAAACTGTTTGGCAACAAACATTCTTCCACAGAAGAGAGAAAGTCATACAGGTTTGGAATGTCATGAGAGTGAGTAAATGTTGACGGAGTGTTCATTTCTGGGTGGACTATCCCTTTAAATGCTTTACTGTAAGTCACACAGTGCCTCTCTTTTTCCTCACTTTCTCTTTCTTTCTCTGCTTAGGGGCAACAAAAAGAAGGGCATAAAGTCGTCTATCGGCCGTCTCTTTGGCAAGAAGGAGAAATCACGTTTAGATCAGCCTTTGAGCAAGGATGGCCAGATGACACCACCTGCCATTCCAGGTAGCATGAAACAAAAACGCATACATTACATGCAGGAAATGTCATGTTTTTATTACTACTGCAGAGTATCACTTAAAAAGCCTTAAATTCAGTTTTATCAAATTTAAGGCCATAAAAAGTCTTCAAAATGGTATAAGAAAAGTCTTACTTGTAATCCGAAAGTATTTGGTTTATTTGTCTTAAAAAAGTAAATGAAATATTAAAATGTATTTTAATATGTTGTTACACTTCAGATTTCGAGATGGGCATTGGAGATACCATGACCTTGAGCAAACTGGGCACACAGGCAGAGCGAGACCGCAGGATGAAGAAAAAGTAGGTCTTCTCTACTTTATATCTCACTCACACAGCTCCTTCGCCCTGACGCCCATCAAATCACCCCGAGACATTCACTAATCTGACCTAATCCTAATTACCTAATTACACAGCTCAATTAAAGCAAATGACCAATCAATTGGATGGCAAAGTGCCATTTCCTGCAGATAAACAAGTTACAAATAACACTTAATAGTAGACTAATAACATGGCCTCATTTGAGTGTACTTTACCATCTCGTAGAGTCTATCCTCATCTCCTCATCTTATCTCTGCCCCCTGATCATTAGCGTGACAGAAAAAATAGGTTTCATAATCAGCACCTGCCATGTGGATAAGTTTGTGTGTGTGTGTGTGTCCATTCTTTGGCACTGTGCTAAGAACAAAATGTTCTTGTTTGGGTGTTAGATGAGAAAATGAAATTGGATAGCCTTTGCATTCTAATGAAATAAATGATGTTAGAAGAATAGCCTAGTGCTGTTCTCTAATAGAATGAAAATCTGATTCAGATAAGTTCATATTTAAAATAATAGGAACAGGAATAAATTACATTTTAGAATAGATTAAAACAGAAAACAGTTTTAAATTGTATACATTTTTTATGTTATTACTATATTTTTTATCAAATAAATGCAACCTTGGTGAGCCTATTAAATCTTATAGCTCAAACTTTTAAATAGTAATATATATATTATATTATATTATATTGTATTATATTATTATTATTACATATCAGGGCTTAGGTCCACTTTCATGCTGAACAAAAAATAACAATAACATTAAAAACATAAGTAAATTTTAACTCCAGACCTTTTGAGTGGGCATGTATATTAGCAAAAATAAAATGAACATTGCTGTTTAAATCCCCATATCGTTTAACCACTACACTGTGTACTTCATATGTTCAGACTGATGTGAGTTTGATGTCTCTAGGGTTGTGTTTCCTCTAAGCTCTGACCTTTCTTTGTCTTCTATCAGACATGAACTGCTGGAGGATGCTAGGAGGAAAGGGCTTCCTTTTGCTCAGTGGGACGGCCCAACTGTGGTCTCCTGGCTCGAGGTATAAAGATATCAGCCACCATCCCTCCCACAGAGCAGTAATGAGCACAGCACTCATGATCTCCATGGTTATAATCACACAAGGGGGGTGGGATACTGATGACAATAATTACGATAATTACTTACTCGCTCTGATGATGATAGAGATAACCAAGATGCATCTTGATGGACTTCTCTCTGACATCCTCCAGCTGTGGGTGGGCATGCCAGCTTGGTACGTGGCAGCGTGTCGTGCCAACGTGAAGAGCGGCGCCATCATGTCGGCACTGTCAGACACAGAGATTCAGCGAGAGATCGGCATCAGTAACCCGCTGCATCGGTTGAAGCTGAGGCTGGCCATTCAAGAAATGGTGTCACTGACGAGTCCGTCAGCTCCTCTCACCTCACGCACAGTAAGAGCCTGTCTGTAAACTGCTCATACAGTCGTGGTCAGAATTATTGGCACCCTTGGTAAATATGATCAAAGAAGGCTGTGAAAATAAATCTGCATTGTTAATCATTTTGATCTTTTATTTTTTTTTAAAAATCACAAATATCTAACCTTTCATTGAACTAAAACAATTGAAAATGGGGGAAAATCTCATTATGAAATAAATGTTTTTCTCAAATACACGTTGGACACAATTATTAGCACCCCTAAAAATTCTTATGGGTAAAATATCTGTGAAGTGTATTCTGGACATCTTGTTTAGATACATGGCATCTTTGATTCTATCAAATACCAAAAAATGGGTCACTGGGCACAAAACCAAGCTTCTGCTATGGCCATTCCAGTTCCCTGACCTGAACCCTATAGAAAATGAGTGTGGTGAACTGAAGAGGAGAAGCACCATCATGGAGCTGGGAATCTGAAGGGTCTGGAGAGATTCTGGATGAAGGAATTGTCTCTGATCTCTTGTCAGGTGTTCTCTAACCTCATCAGGCATGATAGGAGAAAACTCAGAGCTGTTATTATGCCAAAGGGAGTTTTCAAAAAGCATTTAATAAAAGGGTGCCGTTAATTGTGTCCAATGTGTATTAGAGAAAAACATTTATGTCAAATGATATTTATAAAATTTGTTTTATTTTAAACCCAAATAAATTATTCGTGATTTTGGTCCAGTTTAGATTAAAATAGGCATCTGTACACCTACTGCATACGTAGAAAATAATTGCCGGGGGTGTTAGTAACATGACTGCCAACTGTACAGACTTGCCTTAAAGGGATTTTGCTGTAAAGGTGGATTTGAAGACTATGCCATGTGTGATCATTTATCTGTGTGTGTGTGTGTGTCTGTTTTTCTCTGTTCAGTCTTCCGGAAATGTGTGGGTGACTCATGAGGAGATGGAAAACATGGCATCCTCGACCAAAATGGTTAGTCCATCTGGGTGACTCCTTTGTGCCCACGGTGCCATGCATATGCCACGCTTCCGCAGCCCTCACAACCCCTAGCCTGCTGCCCCTGAATCCACCCCCATCTCCCTCTGCCCTGCAAACTACCCAAAGAGTGCGCTTATTAAACCTTTTGCATGTTTCTGAGTGATTGCTGTCCTGTCGCTTTGCAAAATTATTCCATATTTAACTGCATTTGCAGTAACCTAGTAACAACCACAGCTGCTTGGTGTGCACTTCATCTACTCTGACTGGACTGAACTTATTTAGCTTGAAGAGAGCATTGTTAACACTCTCCTCTGTGCTCTAACACGCTGGCATTCTGACATTTGACTGACAGGAGAATGAGGAAGGAAGCTGGGCTCAGGTGAGAGAGCAACCGAGAGCCTTCCAATGACCTCTTTTATGTGGTCTTCATTTTCCATTTTAAAAGTCTGTCAGTAGCTTGGTATATTTATGTAGTAGGAACGAATTGACAGATTTTCATATGGAGTTTCAAGTAAAAAATTGCAACTATATGTAAGGAATTCAATGAGAACTTTGTTAGTTTTATTTAAAAATAAAAAGTATTTTTATGGGCCAAAATGCACTTTTATATGATTATATTCTTAGAATATGGTTTTAATTTGTTTTAATATATATATATATATATATATTATTTCAAATATTTTTTTATTTAATACATAATGAAATAATTATACAATATCTTTTTTTTTATGCCGGATAAATGTTGGTGTGTGTGTGTGTATGTGTTAATGTAAACATATTTTATTATTTTCTTTTTCTTTTTTTTTTACATTATGGATCTCTGTGTAGGATCTAAATAAAATGACTAAACTAAGCCCATGTAAGATCCAGTTGACAGAGGCAAAGTATATATATATATATATATATATATATATATATATTATTTCAAATATTTTTTTATTTAATACATAATGAAATAATTATACAATATCTTTTTTTTTTATGCCGGATAAATGTTGGTGTGTGTGTGTGTGTGTGTGTATATGTGTTAATGTAAACATATTTTATTATTTTATTTTTCTTTTTTTTTACATTTATGGATCTCTGTGTAGGATCTAAATAAAATGACTAAACTAAGCCCATGTAAGATCCAGTTGACAGAGGCAAAGTGAAATAATATATTTTTTCTTTCTCAGACGCTAGCATATGGTGACATGAACCATGAGTGGATTGGGAACGAGTGGCTGCCCAGTCTCGGCCTGCCTCAGTACCGCAGCTACTTCATGGAGTGCTTGGTGGACGCTCGTATGCTGGACCACCTTACTAAGAAAGACCTGCGGACACATCTCAAGATGGTGGACAGCTTCCACCGGTAAACATTTGGATTGACTGCTCATTTACTCATTCTAATAACCAGACTTTTTATGGAATGGTATATGCATTATATCCTTACAGGGCTAGTTTGCACTTACTAAGAAAGACCTGCGGACACATCTCAAGATGGTGGACAGCTTCCACCGGTAAACATTTGGATTGACTGCTCATTTTTCATAACTACTCATTCTAATAACCAGACTTTTTATGGAATGGTATATGCATTATATCCTTACAGGGCTAGTTTGCACTATGGTATCATGTGCTTAAAAAGGCTGAACTATGACAGGAAGGAGCTGGAGCGAAGAAGAGAGGATTTTCAGCATGACATCAAAGGTATGAATAAATTAATAATGCACTCTCTGGATTCATTGCTTCTAAGTTATGAAGGGAAGAGCACTATCTAGTGGCCGTACATGTTATCTGCATTTTGGTGGCAGGAATGTGTGAGGTCAACAGCTGAGCTTTTTAGTGTCAAATTCATTTAAAGGCGGCCGGCTGAACTTCAGCATAACACATGAACTTGACACAGCTGTCACAGCTTTTTAAAATCTTTCATCTTCGTCACTAAAGACACACGCACCAACTGCTTAAGACACACACACTTAAGCACATTACACACAGGATTGTGCAAACAGAAAGCAATTCAAATTTGCCAGCTGTGCAAAATAATCATGCTCCACATATACTGTTACCGAAACACAGATATTTCCAGAACTGTTATAAACACAGACCCCTTAGAAGATTTGCTTCATTAATGTTCACTGCATGGGTTAGAGGTGGTCTGTTCAGTCTTATACCACAGTATATCACGGAAACTGTATATCACAATACACATGTTGTTTCAATTGTTGTATGCGTTTATCATTTAAAATATATAACTTTTTGTCAGCCAAACCCCTAGACATCAAATATTTCATTGAAATATCACCTGCGATTTTAAGGTAATAGTTCAATAATTTAATGACACATTCACATTCCTGGTTCTCTGATGTTGGTTAATGATCACATGACATGCAAGTTAAATTGTGAAGTGTTGCAGCCCACATTAAATTATTATTATTATTATGAGGTTATAACTGTGATTTACAAAACTGAATATAGAAATATTTTGCTGTTGTAAATTGCAATTGTACTGTAAAATAAAATGTTTTAATGATTTTATTGTACACTACAATTTACAATTATAATCTTGACTTTCAAACATTGACACCTTCGAATATTTCAAATCCTTTTTGTTTTGTTTTTGTCGAAATACTGCATATTTACTTATTTTATCCGTGTAATACTCTAAACTTCTGCCAACCAAAAATGTTGAAAATGATGCAAATGTGTAAATAAAGTGAGCATAGCGCACGTTGCATTCCAGTCACAAATGCATGTTAAACTTGCAGCACATGCAGAGATGAAGTTTGCAGCATTTACTGTGAACCGAGAAGCTCAGCTGCAGAATACAGTGCCACGCTTCGCTTTGAAGCAGGCAGTTCATCAAATTATGCAGTTATTTAATTCATTCATATCCTTTGATTTGATATTCACACTATTCTATATCTTCTGATATGGCTTTATAATGGAAGTCATTTGAGTCAGTTTAATATGAAACCAGTGAACCATTTTGTGTCTAGCAGAGGTAATAGCAAATGCATGTATTGTTATCACTCCCAGATACCCTGGTGTGGACCAATGATCATGTGATGCAGTGGATTCAGAACATCGGTCTGAAAGAGTACGGTAATAACCTGCTGGAAAGCAGTGTGCATGGAGCTCTCATTGCCCTAGATGAGACGTTTGACTTCAGCAGCTTGGCCCTCATTCTACAGATCCCCATGCAGAACACTCAGGTGAGGAACACACCTGATGATGTTTAATAGCAGTTTAAAGACACTAGCTTGTCCATTCTGTTCTAGCATAGAAAACTGACTCAGTTGATTTAGTGGTTCAGCATACGGCTGGTCTTTCCAAAGTCCTGTATCTCTGTGTCTTCCAGGCCAGGCAGATTCTGGAGAGGGAATTTAACAACCTCTTAGCATTGGGAACAGATCGACGCCAGGAAGAGGTTGGTAAACATTTGGATAAGTAAACCTTTTTGAATTTCGGCTAAAATTTCATGGAATTTTTACAGGTCACTACAAGTAAATTTGTCATATGTCATATGCACACTTAATTATGAATAATGAATACTATTCAATATTGAATCACCTGCAAAATATAGACTAGAGCTTCTAATGTACAAAGAAAGAATCTTTCACAATTTAATTACTTTTGTCAGCACTGTTCAGAATGGAGCAATCACAATCGTTCATGATTACAGGATAAGGCATCTTATTTAGTCATTTTAAGAAATTGATGGGGTCGATTTTCATTTGTATGTCAGGTACCAGCCAATTTATTTTATATATTTATACAATGGTCATTTTTAATGTACGGATGTCAAAACATCTTGAGATTTGAATGCAGCTTTTCAAGGCTTTTAAAATGAAACAGAAAATATTTTAATTTTAAATGTTAAATGAAACAAAGTAAATAGAAATATTTATTTATTTGTTTATTTTGTTTTTGTAACATGAAAGTAAAATACAAGTATTTATTTGTTTATTGTGTTCATCTGTGTAACAGATTTTTCAAAATGAAACAACTAGAATATTTATTGTATTTATTTATTATTTTATCTATTTTATTTCCCATTTACTTTATATCTGTGTAACAGTTTTTTCAAATGAAACAGAAACAAACTAGAATATTTGTGTTATTCTTACTTGTTTTAAAATGGCCATTTCGTGACACAGCAATAAGCTGGGAGTGCTTGTCTGCAGCCAGACTCTCCTGTAGAAGCAGCCAGGATTGCACTGCTCATCATTAATGTTGACATTTGTTCCCTGTAGAACTAGGAAATTATCATTGTGCTGTGATACTTGCTTCTCTGTTGCCATATATGAAATAACACAGATGTTGGCGCAGTCATAGTTCTGAACAGTATCTTAACCCAGTTGTTGTGATGTCATTCCTTTCAACAGAGTGATGACAAGTCTTTCCGAAGGTCTCCATCGTGGCGTAAGCGCTTCAGGCCGAGGGACGGCCAGGGCCTGGGTATGATGCCGGGGTCCATAGAGACTCTTCCCGTTGGCTTCCGCCTCAACACCATGTCCATTCCCCCCTCTATGGCTGCTGTGCCCAAGAAACAGCTGCAACCAGAAGGTAGAAAGGGGGGGCAGGGTGTTTTACAAGGGTGAAGTGAGTTCAGCATTGCCATTAACACATTGCACTTTAATGGTTGCAGTACAGTACTAACAAGTAGTGCCTTCTCTAACTCTTTTACAGTTAATCTTACAGCACTAATTGCAAAACATGAATGCATTTGACTGTGAAAGCATGTGTTGAATGTAACTAATATTAATGGCACAGGTCAGGGTCATTCAGCTTGTGTCACTGCATGTTTTCTCCCCTCTGTGTCTCTGTGGTTCAGCAGCCGGTCCCCCGGCCCCGCAGAGACTAGACCCCTCAGCTGTCAGGACTTACTCCTGCTAACTTGCTTTTACTAATCACTGCACTCACACTAACAGGTAAGCTGGTCACTGCAACCTCTCTGCTAAGATAGAGATGTTTAATGATGCTCAGATTCATTTCTTGGTTACTTTTCGTTTAGTACATGAATGGTCCGTTTTCTTTTGTGTAAAACTTAAGTAGAATTGAATGAAAGTTCATATAATCCACTAGGAACCAGCTAGTAACCAATCAGAACATGCAGCAACTGTATAGTAACTGATTGCATTATTGCACTCCATTATTTTATTTCAATTTTCAGTGTCCTTTCATGTATATTTATTCAGTCTCATGGATTATATGAATGTGAGCTCATGACCGTTTTTCTCTTTACATCGTTTATTCAATTATATATTTTGTTTGTGTAATTTTGAGATATTTAAATGTCACCTTTTATAATTATGTCAGTGTTCTTCTGGGTTTGGTACAAGTTAAGCGCAGTCATTAAAATTTGTAGCATAATGTTGGTTTACACAAAGAACTATTAACTGAAGTAGAAATTGCAGTTACACAAATGGGCCATTCACACAGTAAGCATTTTTTCATTACACTTCAGTGCTTCTCCATTTTTTTTTATGTAAACATGCTCTAAGCGAGCATGTTTGACAGTTGCAATTTCATCTTCTGCATGACACAGCATTCTAAAAACAGTGCTCAAGTTAAAAGAAATTCAACTTTTCAAAATGCATCTGTAGAGCTTTTTCTTTTCTTTTTTCATTCTACTGCCCTGTGTTTTAGTGCAAAAACACATTCTGTCTGAAACACACTTATACGTTGTTCACACATGCGTTCTGCTTCTCAGTTGTTTTTCTGTGTAAACGTGTTAGATCTCTTGAGTCATGACTGTTTCCTGTCGGTTAGACAGCTCCGTCTGCTAGGACGGTGTTGTATAGTCGGTGTCTTACACCAGTGGTGACTGGAGAAACGTGCGTTTGTGTTCACATCAGCAGTGCTTATCCACGTAATACACTTCCAGCACTCCGAGATCGTATAAAGCCATGATGCTAAATATTGTCGAGCATCAGAGAAAGCAATAGACTTCAGTTCACTTAGAATCAGGAGAGGAAAAAAAAAAAAAGTAGGACCTGTGAACAAACGTGATCTTCGCCACTTGAAATTCAGCATCACAACGGGAACAAATGATTCTCGATCAACCTATCTACCAAACCGGTTAAGAGCGCGTGTCAGTCTGTTGGGCATTTCTTTTCTTTTTTTTCTTTTTTCTTAAGACAGTATTTTCTGTAATTCACAGGATGTATCGTGCTATTGTGGCAGCTACTGTACTGTGTGGAAATGTGTGTATGTGTATCATAAGTGTTACACAATGCTGACAAATCATGTTCTTTAAAAAGTGCTCTCTATTAAAAAAAAAAGAAGTATTAATATAAGTGACTGTTTTTTCATTTTATACACAAAAAAAACATTCTTAAAATAATTCTATACTATTAAATGAATGGTTGATGGTCAAGCCTTGTTTGTGCTGTGTGGGTCACTTTTGGCATTGGGGCGTCTGGTGGAGCATGCATGCCACTAAACGTGACAATCACTGTAGCATATTTTGCCTCTCTTTCTCGCTCTCAATCATCATTACCACAGATCTGAAGGAATATATCACCAGTCAAACACTTGAACTTGAAATCCTGTGGTGTGCTGCTCTTTTTAAGCCTCGATCTGCCAATTGTGCCTAGCCTTTCACAGCCAGTTTAGTTGGTTCTGCTTTGTTTTTAATGTTCGGCGTGCTCGCTGAATATCTATTTGATCTTATAGTGGCTTGACGAGGACCAAGCGTTTCCCTGATGCGACGGTGGTGGAGTAACTGAAGCCTCTTGCTTTGCAGCGTGTTCTTCTGTGATGGTCATTTTTACGCTAATTTGTTTCTGTAGCTCTTGACAGTAATGTGAACTGTAAAACAGGTGCAGGTCTCTCTCTCTCTTTTTCTCTCTAGCCCCCTCACAAGCTCTTTCTCTTTTGTGTGCATGTAAGGTTTAATGTGTGTGTAAATAGCTGATTTATGTATATAATTCTGTATAGAGTAGATGCAGATTCCACATAAAGCATGTGGTTGAACCAGTGAGATTTTTCTTTGAATGTGATGTTTGTTTAGTACCGCTCAGCTGTTGAGTTTTTTTCTTTTTTTCACTTTAAATGTAAAAAGCTGTCACAAATAAATAATTATATATGAATATATAAAATAAATATTTACCTTATGTATTATAAATCATTTCATGGATTTTTATTTGTGTATTTGGTGCTTTCTTGCACACAAGTCTAAAGCCAAATCCATATTTTAGAGATTGCTGGGAAAATACTTTGCAACAAAACAATAAATTAGATGATCAAATTAGTAAAAAAAAAAAAAAAGTTATTTAAAGGGCAAAGAAAATTAATATATACAAATACACAACAATCTTTATTATAAAAGTCAAATAAATTATTCCATACACACCGAAAAATACAAAATAAAATAACAAAACCACTCTGTAGAAAATAGGAACATATTTACATGACTGGCATTCAGAGCTAGTTTAAATTAAGCAGAAATTGGTCAAAACCAGAAGTAAAACATTGGACCCACAAAAAAGTTTTTTTTTTGTTGTTTGTTTTTGTTTTTTTGTTGGTAAGCATAAAGCACACTCAAACAGAATGAAAAAATAGGAATCAAGAGGGAAAAAGGACAAACTATGAACTTATGAATCGGCCTGTCTGAAGTTTAAGCAGGAATTAGGCTGATCTGAAATTCGTTCTTATTCCCACAGAGATAAGAAACATTTGGAAATATAATCATATGGACCTCAAGATTTGTCTGGAAATTAAGCCCCCGAGGCTTTTATGACTTTTAAAAGCTACTTCATTCACCTTGGGTGTTACAGATAGTGCTGTAATGGTCAGTGAAAGGTGGTCTGAACATAACGGTGGCATCACCCTCCTCATTTATTTGCTTATGTCCACTGAATAGGGGACCGGAGTCACCTCTGTTCCTGTAATGCTGTCCACAATAGACGTCAGAGACCTCAGGTTGGTTTGCTCTGAGGAGTCGTCATTCAGGAGATCTGAGGAAATTAGAGAACTCTGTCACATGTTTGCCTGGCAAGTCCTTCAGACCTCACTTTTTTATGTGGCTTAATGGAAGTTTTCGAATGTCAGGCTAGTTAGTGTAGATGTGGTAGTCTTACCCTCGTGGGCGGAGCTGTAGGCAGGGGCGCAGTGCTCAGACGCACTGCTCCACTCTGGACTGCTACAGCAGGTGCTGCCAGAGCCCTGATCACTAGAGGACGACATCTGTTACACACAAACACACACACACTACTGTCAGTCACATCACCAGCCATGAATCAAGCACTGCACACAGCAACCTATTATCCTTCACACATTTGGTTTGATTGATTTTATATGGGCAGTCTAATGTTTTTAAAAACGGAAACGTGAAATACTGTATGACATTTTTTTTATTTAAATAACTTTTTTTCTGACTTTTGTCAAATATTCTCAATTAATGAATGAATGAGAAAATCTAATTTGTTAATGTTTAAATTGAATTTTAATAAAAAAGTAACCTTTCTTCCTTTTTTCCCCGCAAAGTATTCTGCATTTAAATTTCTGACTTTACCAAAATAATATCAATTAATGAATGTATGACAAAATGCAATTTAATTAATTTTTGTATTTCTTTTTTTATTAAATGCATTCAGTTTTTTTCAGTGCATTCTTCATTTCTGAATTTACAGTCATCTTGTCATTGAGTGAATGACAAAATATAGTTGAATGTTTTTTTGTATGGGTTTGTGAATGGGTTGATTTTCAATAGAAATAAGAGTTAATTAAATACCCACAAAACTACATAGTGTCAAAGAATGTCTGCTTAATTAATGTAAAGCACTTTTGAACTGTTAAAAAGTACAGTCCTGTCTGACAGCGTATATGTCATATGTAAAGCCCACCGTACACCTGCCCCTGATTCCCAGAGCTTCACTCACCCCTTGAGGAGCCGTGGCTCTGTAATGCATGTTTCCCTGCTCGTGCTCCTGCTGGTTGAGAGAGCTGACCAGCGCCTGGAGTCTCTCGATGTACTGGATGGCGCTGCGCAGGATTTCCACCTTAGGCAGCCTCTGGTTGGGATTCATGAGCGTGCTCTTCTTAAGAGCCTCAAAGGCCTCGTTGACTTTCTTCAACCTCCTCTTTTCCCTCATAGTGGCGGCTTTCCGTCGATCCATGGTGACCGACTTGCGCTTACACACCTTGCAGGCCCAGGGCAGACACTGACCCGGACAGTGCTGCTGCTCCTGGTGAGGAGACATGGACAAACTGAGGCTAGGAGATGGAGACGGTTTGTCCTCCAACCCCACTCCGTTTGACAGCAGCCTCCCGTCGCCACACAAGCCCACCATGGAGCTTCGGTCCTGATATCCTGCTTGGTCGAAGCCTCCGGTTAGCCTTGATTGGAAGAAGTTATCGCCGCCGTCGTAAAAACGCTGGTCTGCGAAGAAGTAGGGGTTGGTCTCGAAAAGCTCCATGTCTTGCTGGAATTAGAGTCCACTGGCTCTGCTCTGTCTTCTCTGAAAGCGTTCTAGGTCCTTTGCGGTTCTTGCGAGCGTGTGTGGGTGTTTCCCCCCGGAGCTGAGCTCGTGCTGAAGAAGATCTGTGGATGACAACTGCTCCACACCAACTGCAGTGGTGGCATTTAAACTCTCTGCCTGGTGTTAGATCAGTAGGTTAAATATAGCCAGGGCTCTGAGAAACCTGACCCTGCGTTTAGCTGTTGCCACACATCTAAACTTTACATCTCTTTTCATTCCCCAATCTTCTGGGGATTTGGGACCGGTTTGCTTCGAGAATGGCGTCAGGCCGCTGTTGAAAGTCCAGGAACATGATCTGAGTTCCATGGAAATCAAACAGACTACAGCAGATATGAAAGATCCACTACGGCTCCTTAATTAACTGGTCTAAATCCTTGTCAGACAGTATCACCTTCTCTTCTAAAGCAGAAAATGTGGCACACTTACTATCAACAGTTTGATGTTTCTATAACTTGGCTGGAGCAATGCATTGAGGGTGTCTGTCTGTTTGGAATAAAAGATTAAGAACATTTTGAAACTTTTGTTGACAGTTTTATACTTTATGACTGTTATATATATATATATATATATATATATATATATACAAGGTTCAGAAAAAGACTGGCATAACAAAAGCTGAAATATGTAATATAATACATTATATTTATATACGTATATTTCAGTTTTTGTT